TTAACTAAACACCCCAATATATAAAAATTTTATAAAATGACAAAAACACCCCCACCCACCCACAGTGCCAGATTCTAGCCACCACTGCTGGAATCTAGTCGAAAATAACGTAACAACGCAGACCGGTCAGATCTGGCCGGTCGTGCATTGATATGACCTTTTTCGGCTAGATCCACCACTGATCTGGCCGAAAAATGCTAGATCTACAGCTAGTTTTGGCCTTCGACGGCCGCAAAAGGCCAGATTTGGCCGTCAACGATGGTCATCGTTGTCGGTCAATGATGGCCAATTCTTTGGCCGTCAGATCTGGTGTTTTTCGGCCATATCCAATGTGGATCTGATCGGAAAAGGCCTGACCGGTGAATTACCGGTCTTTTTCGGTCGTTTCCATGCCGTTGTAACAACGGTGGTTGCCGGAATTTGGCAACTATGGGTGGGTGGGGGCGTTTTTGTTAATTTTTAAACTTTTTTTCTAGGGGGTGTTTAATTAAATTAATAAACTTAAGGGGTTTAAAAGTAATTAAAAAAATAGAATAGTATTTCTCAAATAATAAAACAAACAAGTATTTTGAGAATAAGATTGGGAATATGGATAGGAATAACAAAACAAACAGAGCCATTGTTTATCCTTGCCTACGGGCTTATTATTAGAACTCAAAAATTGTTATTATATACCTGCAATTTCTAGTAACATTATTTCAGTATTCGCTTTGGATAATATAGGATATCGTTTTGAAATTTCTAATGGACTGTTGTCCTTTAGTTTGAATGGTATTCTAATTGGAATTGCAAGGTTATATAACGGATTATATGTTCTTGAGTTAAACAATAAGGATATTCTCAACGTTGAAACTAAGAAAGCTAAACATAACGATCAAAACCATACATACCTCTGGTATTGTAGATTGGGTCATGTTAATCAGACCCGCATTGCAAAACTTCAAAGGGCTGGAATTTTGGATAATACTTCAGTCATTTGAGGTATGCTAGTCATGCCTTTTAGGCAAGATAACCAAGTCACATTACGCAGGACAAAGTGACAGGGCTACTGAACTGTTAGGCATCATCCATAGTGATGTATGTGGTCCACTAACAGTTGAAGCCAGAGGTGGATATTCCTACTTCATCACATTTACTAATGATTTCAGTAGATATAATTATGTCTACCTCATGAGACATAAATCTGAAGCCTTTGATAAGTTCAAAGAATTCAGGAATGAAGTATAGAATATGTTTGGTAAAAGTATTAAGGCTCTTCGGTCGGATCGAGGAGGTGAATACTTGAGCTCAGGGTTTTCTGAATACCTGAAGGAATGTGGGATAGTATCACAACTCACCCCTTCGTATACACCCTAACACAATGGAGTGTCTGAAAGGAGGAATATGACCTTACTTGATATGATTAGGTCCATGATGAGTTTTAGTGATCTGCCTGTATCATTCTAGGGTTATGCCCTGGAGACTGCGACTCACGTATTGAACTGTGTGCCGTTAAAGTCTGTAGATAAGACTCTATATGACTATGGAGTAGGCAAAAGCCCAACTTGTCTTATCTAAGGATTTGGGTTGTGAAGCTTATGTCAATAAATTGACTTCGAACAAGCTGGGTCCAAAATCTGAGAGATGCATTTTTGTGGGGTATCCTAGGGAAACCAAAGAGTATTATTTCTAACACCCAGAAGAGCGTAAAATTTTTATCACTCGTACTTGTGTCTTCCTAGAAAATGAATTTTTCCTAAGAAGTACTAGTGGTAGAAAAGTAGAACTTGATGAAGTTCTAGAACCACAAGATACATTAGACCAATGATGGGAAGGTGTGCCACAAGAGGTGGTTGAACATCGTGAGGAGGTCACTCCACAATCTGTGGATCAAAGTGAAGCACCTCAAGTAGCACAAGAGCTACGTAGGTTTGCGAGAGTACATCATGAGCCAGAGAGATACGGTTATCTCGTGACTCAACATGGTGACGTACTAGTCTACCAAGACGATGAACCTAGAACCTCAAAAGACGTTATGTCAGATCCAGATTTCGTTAAATGGCTTGAAGCCATGAAATCTGAGATGGACTCTATGTACCAGAACCAAGTACGGTCTCTGGTGGAACCACCTGAAGGGGTAAAACCCATAGGGTGCAATAGGTCTTCAAGAAGAAGACTGGTATGGATGGCAAGGTGCACACTTATAAGGCACGACTGGTTGCCAAATGTTTCAAACAAATTCATGGTATTGACTATGAAGAAACCTTTTCGTCGGTTGCCATGATCAAATCCATCCGGATTATGCTTGCAATTGATGCATATCATGACTATGAAATTTGGCAGATGGATGTCAAAACAGCTTTCCTGAACGGAAACCTTGAAGAGGATGTGTATATGACACAACCCGATGGTTTCGTTCTTGATGGGCAAGCTGATAAGGTATGCAAGTTGCAGATGTCCATTTATGGACTCAAGCAAGCTTCAAGGAGCTAGAACATTCGTTTCGATGAAACAGTAAAAGAATTCGGTTTTATCAAGAACGAAGATGAGCTCTACATTTACAAGAAAGTGAGTGGGAGCGCAGTAGCATTCCTAGTGTTGTATGTTGATGACATACTTCTGATCGAGAATGATATACCGAACTTGTAGTCGGTAAAGACTTGTTTATCCAAGTGCTTCTCCATGAAGGACTTAGGAGAGCAGCCTACATCCTCAGAATAAAGATCTACCGAGATAGATCACGTCGGTTGCTTAACTTAAGTCAGAGTACATACATTGACAAGGTACTGAAGAGATTCAGTATGAAGAATCCAAGAAGGGTTTTCTTCCGATATCACATGGTGTTTATCTCTCTAAGGAAATGTGTCCTAAAACACATGATGAAATTACCCAAACCCATTCAGTATGAAACGACTGGTTAGTTCCCTCTTAAACCAAAAAAAAAAAAAAAAAAAAAAATTGCCAAAACCCATTTTGATGTTTCAGTCGCGTCTCAACTTCATTGCACACCAAAACCAGTAGTCCTCCAAAAATCGTTGTAGATTTGGCATTGTGGATATGGCCGAAAAGGCCAGATCGACACACGACCAGCCAGATCCAACCAATCGTGTTGCCATTCTGGCAGATTCCAGCCACCTTCCCGCGGTGGTGGCCGATTGTCGGCAATATGTGGGAGTGTTTTTGTCCATTTATAAACTTTTATTATGGGGTGTTTAGTTAAATCACAACTTAGGGGTTAAAATAATCTAAATTTTTCAAAAATGTTATTAAGAAATGTACCAAAACTTTGAGAATCCTATTCTATTTCCAAAAATGCTATTAAAAAAACTTACCAAACGAGCTATTATCTGGTATATTTTACCGTCTTTAAGATCAATTAATATCTAATTCATCCACATTTTTATAAAAATATAAAAAACAACCACAACGTTAGTGATATGCCAAGCCTTCATCCAAGTTTAAAATTAAAAATTTATTTACCCCCTCATATTATTACTTACCAACTTAACAAATTTCTTAAATCGTTCGCTCAATTATAAATATCCAAATCAACCTTGAACTTACAATTATCTATACCCAAGCAAGGTTACACATTTAGTTGATTTTTAGATAAATAAAACATATAATATTGTGTTTTTAAAGGGATAAAATAGCTAAATAATACAGAAACTATAAAATGAGGTTAGTATGAATGAAATAATTTAAACATAATTAAATAAATAATAGATGTTGAAATATTGCTTTATCAACTTTAGAAGTAATTATATTTAGTTAAGACGTTAAAAGTATTAACTAGCCATTTTAAAAAAGGACATAACTAGATAGTCAACAATAATTATTTAAAATTATAGTGTTTAATGAACCCCAGAAATTAGTTGAAATACGTGTAAACTAGTCTGGATACCCTGATAATTTATTTAAAACAAATTTGATTGTAATCAACATTTTGAAATTTGTATTATGAGACAAACAAAGACTAGATCTTTTATAAAACCTTTAAGTAATTTTAATTTAGACAAAATCAAAATACTGGTATTTTAGTTTGATTATTTTTTTTTTTTTTTTTTTTGGTAATGATTATAAAAATAAGGAATATAAAAAAATATTGTTTAAGTTGGTAAGTCATGGAAAGGGGTAAAGTAGATTTTTAATTTTGAAACAATTAAATCATTTACACACGAATATTTCAATCATTTAAAATATTTCAGTTAAAGTTATCGATTTTGAAATGTCTTATTATCTCAAATAAATTAGTGTCTTATTTATGATAAAAATGGTCTCTGGGTGATATAAAATGAAACTTTCACATCATCGAACATTAAACTTTCATAACTATCTTTAGATAGTTTAGCGGTTTACTTAAGACTTTTAGGTGTATTACTCAAGAGGTTATGAGTTCAAATCCACACAACTATTAATAGGGGTAACCAACCACTGAAGGTTTACCTGACCGTTAACTTCAGGATCTCAATGGACTAATCAAGGTACGCGTAAGTTGATCTGGACACTCACTTCCATATAGTTAACCATATCCAAACACATCAAAAACACAACTTCACATCATCAACCATCTCCAAACATATTAAAAAAAAAACTTCAAAATCAAATCTAGAAAGAATGAAATAACAAAATAGCCATGACATACTGTCTAGTAGCGACGACCATGGCCTTATCCAGCGGCCCTCGTTACAGCCATGACCTTCAATTTTTTTTTTTTTTCTTTTTTGTATAAACTTCTGGTTTTAGATTATTTTTCTAATTTAAAAAAAAATAACGAGGGAGATTATGGTTGATTTAAGTTTATTTTCTAATTCAAGTTTATATATAATGCGTAGAAAGACTTAAATACCCCTTGACGGTTAAGTATAATATTTGTAATTTAAAAATTGGGTGGAACAGATGGTTCCGAAATTAGGGGTGGGAAATAGATTTTCCAAACCTAGGGTGGAAAAGAATTTGATCTAACTTTAAAATGTAATAAGTGTGACTGGAATTCAAAATGTAGTTAACCCGACCGTTGAAACCCCTTCACCATGGAATTGGAATCCTATAAACAAAATCTGTACCCGACAAGATCAGTATCAAGCTTATTTCAATGGCGAAATCTCATTTGCCTGCATATGCTTCCTCTTCCGCAAAAATCCACCCCTCAAACGACCCCGAGATAGACCCCAATTCCTGTTCCCTTGAGAAGTTCAAGCTTTACGAGACCAGAGCGGTGAGGGTTTTTTTTTAAACTGTAATTTTCCAATAATTGATAAACTAAGGGCTATTCAACTGAATTGAGTTTGGGTGTTTTTGAGCAGAGGTTCTATTTAACTGGGAGTGACAGGAACAAGAGGTTTTTTCGAGTGTTGAAAATTGATCGATCAGAGCCGTCTGATCTAAATATCAGCGAGGATCCGGTGGTTTATTCCCCTCAGGAAATCAAAAACTTGCTTCAACGGATTGATGAAGGAAATCGTGCTACCGGCGGCCTCAACCCTGTGGCTAAGGTTTTTGGTATTGCAGGTTAGACTTATTATTATTATTATTTTGAGGGATAAAGATTTTATTATTACTATTATATTATTATTTTTGTGCATTTCAGTATATAATTGAGTGTTTTTTTTTTAATTATTATTATTTTTTTAATTTTGTAAAGGTTACATTAAGTTTTTGGAGTCATATTATTTAATTTTGGTTACTGATAGGAACCTGGATTCTTAACACTCAAACAGAGTACAATATACCCAAACAGAACAATATTCCAACACAGATCAGAGACAATTGAGAAAGCACTAATATGAATATACCTCTATATTGATTGATACAGAAATGGATAACAACAATAATGAAGAACAATTAAGAAAACAGTACTGAATGTAAAGATAACCTAGCAATTCGAGGAGCTAGGGGCCTCCCTTCCAATATCCCACCAAAATATTCTCTACCCTTTACAATTCCTATCCCTCAATTTATACTCACAAACGTCACACCAATTCCATTGTAATTGCCACGTGGATAACTAACTCCCACTTGCACACCATGCCATTTGCCCTTATTATTCCTTTTGTAAATTTGAGTTGGATGACTTGGGGTCTTATCATTTAACAAGCAAAGACAAATTGGATGTATTTGCAGTCATGCAATATACAGTATAGATGAGAGGCAATTGATAACGATTCCTCATGTCTCTATTCAATCAGATGTGGCGCATTCGAAAACCGAACTCAAGTATTTTCCTCTTGTTGTATTTTTAATTTATTTGGCCATAATTCATTGGGTTGAAAAGAATTTTAATTGAATTTTTATGGAGCTAGGCAGTTTAAAGTCGTGGATATATTCTTAAAAGAATTTTTTATTTTTTACTTATTTTTCCTTTCTCGACTGCTGTGATCTTTACTTTACTAGTTGAATTCATCATTTTAATTTAGAGCCAGAATTGGTTCTCATGCCTGGTTATCTATTTGTTGTATGAGAAAATGTATAATTGTTTTTTTCCANCAAATAGTATATTTGTTAGGGGTGTATTTGTAAACTTTTAAGGTATTTTTATCATTTTTTAAACTAATAGGGGGGTAATTAATTTTTTACAGGGTACCCCAGAAAGGAACCGGAACCTGCATTTTAGGTTCCGGTTCCTTGAATTGAAGAACCTGCATTGTGTGGTTCCGGTTCCAGTTCCTTTTTTTGGGAACCTGCACTGTGTGATTCCGGTTCCGATTCTCCCGGATAATGGAGGATACCCGGAACCGCTCACCCCTAGTCATAATAAAGGAAAGACCAAATAGGCAAATACCCTACTTGTTAGCACAAAAAAGCACCACAAAAGAGTATGAGGGCTTGTTTGGTAGATTATTTGAAAAATATTATTAAAAAAGTGTTATAAATTGAGTTGAGTTAGATTAAATCATATAGGAAGATTTTGAAAATGTGTTTGGTAAAATATCTGGATAAAATATTAAATAGTTGTTTAGTATATATATATTTTTTTAAAAGTTTTTAAGATAGAATAATTGTTTGGTATATTTTCTAAAAATATTTATTATTTTATTCTGAAACTTTTTTTTTTTTTCAGTTTAAATAATATTAAATAGTTGTTTGGTAATTTTTTTATCAGTAAATTAAAAAAAAAAAAATCTCCATAATAATTTCAACTACTAATACTTAATTTAAAAACTAGAAATTAAGCACATTACAATATCATAAGTTCATAATGCATTAATACATATTTAAATTAATAATAGTAAGCTACTAGTAATCAATTCTTAAAATCCTTAATTCCATCAACAATTAGGACATGGATAGATGTTGAACCCATATATCACTAGTTATGTTATCCCTAAGAGTTGTCATGTTGTCTGTATACATTGATACGATTGATACGATCACTCCTCATCCTCTTCATTTTCTTGCCCATTTTCCATTTAGCAATCTTCATCCTCATAAACTCTATCTTCATTAAATTCATCGATGATAAGGTCCTCCATATTGAACATTCTAATAAAATTATAAACTATACAACATATCATAACAATTTAAGCTTTTCTCTCCAATGAGTAATTGTTCATGTCTCGAAGAATAGGGAACCTACTTTTCAAAACACCAAATGTTCTCTCTATAATATTCTGAAGCGATGAATGTCTGTAATTAAACAATTCAAGGGGTCCATTCTAGTTGCGACGTCGACCGACAACATGGTAAATGACCCGTCTATGAGGGGCAAGGAACCCACCTCCATTCACATAACCGGCGTCTACTAAATAGTATTTACCTATAATAAAATACTGAATATTATCAACTCAATGACGAAAAAAAATGTTTATCGTATGCTAAAATACGTAGAGAAGTTAATTATACCTGGTGGAAGATGTGGGAAACTAGAATTAAGATTGTCTAGAACTAAATTTAAAATTCTAGAGTCATGGTAGATCCTTCCCACCTGACGACGACATAAGTGAACAACATCTTGAAGTTGCATACAGACATCACATTTTGTGACAATGTTCCTTTATGATTCTGATACAACTCGACTAACTCAACAGGTGCCCAAGCATGTACATGTGTACCATTAATAGCTCCAACACAATTTTGTTGACAAAAATTAATTTTAATAATATGATAGGACTAACAACATACAAGAACAATGACTATAACTACCAACAAATTAAAGATAACAAGACAGGTACCTTAAAGAAAGGGTAATACTTTGGGTTGGTCGATATCTTCAATGGAACATCATGTAAGTCAGGTGGCTTGATAAATATTGATTTCAACTCGCAAATCGCATCACAAACTGTTCCAAAATATCTAGAGATTGTCTCACTAGAGTGTTGGAAATCCTCCATACAAAATCTACAAAATCTATTTGTTGCATTTTGCCCCATTGTTGTCAGAAATATCAGTAGTTGCTCTTGAATACTCATGTTCTTGGTTGATTGCAATTGCCCTTGTAGTGCCAGTGTATTGCATAAGGTCTCAAAACATGGTTTGTACATGTAACACTTATCATACAATCTTTTGGGATGACCAATTAGTAGTTCCAACATATAATCATGACCATTTAATGAAGTTGTATGCCTACATTGACGTCGTTGTCTTCTAAACTCCATTTCTAACACAGCTAATGCACAAATCCGGCTGCAACATCTTAATCTTGTCTTCACGTTGACTATTTCGCTAACGGTTTTTACGCCTAGACGACGACATCTATACCTGTCCATTTTGGTGTGCATGGTCAGCAATGATTTTGAAGCATGCAACAGTAAGGTTGAGCAATGATTTTGCTGTGCATGGTCAGCTTTGAAGGTTAATTTTAAAGATAGATACATTCAACATATTCATTATTCACATATAAGTAAATCTTCCTAAAAAGAGTTTGCAAAGAGACATTGGCTTTAGAAAATTGTCGCTGACCAGTGAACATATTCATATATAAGTAAATATTCCCAAAAAGTTACAGATGAATTCTACACAAACACATGGTAGTTTATGTGTAACATCATATAAGTTACAATGATACTCTCTACGCCCAAACACATGATGCATACACAAATAACAAATTAAAATCAGTCAAAGAAATAAATCAACATACTCTAACCGAACAAATGGTTAATGTGTAGAATTTATCATTGTAACTTATATGATGTTACAAGTGAATGAAATGAAATTTAAGGGATGCAAGAAATTTAAATTTCAATAACTCTTTATTAGCAATATTAAATTCAAATTTAGAAAGTGGATCGGTTTATTTTGATTGTTATCCAAATTTTACTGTAGGATTATATGATCCAACAATAATGTCTGCATTAACTATTAATTTAACAGCTTCAAATCTCACTTATCAAGATAAAGCACAACCAGTAGCATTAAGGGGCTGTTTGGATCGGGGGTAAATAAAAAATGGGGATAATCTTAGTTTATTTTACAAGATTCTTGTGTTTGGTTTGCAAGTAATAAAATATTACGGTAATATTTTATTACAATTAGTGTTTACTATTGGTAATAGGGGAGGGGGGTTATCTTATTACTTTGTTGGGTGGTGTTATTAAAACATTATCGAGGTAATATGATTTTTCTACCCATTTTACTTTTAATTAAAAACCATTTCAGACACAATTGTTCTCAAATGTCTATCAAATAACAATTACCCAGCCCCCCTACATTTGAGAAATGAGCTAAAACACTCCAGCCATACAAAAGTTTAAAAGTTAACAAAATACCCTTAGCCACCCAAGACCACCGCCGATCGTGACTCACCACTACCGGCCACCGACGTCAGTCACCGTAATGGTGCACGACCAGTAGGATATGGTCGATCGTGTGTCGATAAGGCCTTTTCCAACCATGGATCATAGAGCCATGGTCGAAAATGGCCAGATCTAGTGTTTCTACGGTCGTTTCACGACCAAAGATGTGGCCGTTTCACGACCAAAGATATGGCCATGAAATGGCCATAGATCTAGCTGTTGTCTAGCCATGGATTTGCGATCCATGACCATTTTCGGATTTGCCGGCACACGACCGGCCATAAACGGCCAGTCGTGCGTCATTCCGTCGACTGTCGACAGTAGTGGTTGGCTACCAGCAGTGGCTTGGGGTGGGTGGGGGTGATTTTGTTATAAATTAAAGTTTCATATGGTTGGGGTGTTTTAGCAAAATTTCAAATGTAAGGGGTTAAAAGAATGATTAAAAAAATAATAATAAAAATACTATTATATTAATATTTAAAAAGGAGGGCAATTTAATAATCTATATAACATACCCACCCATTTATCCTCCCAATCAAACATATTATCCACCAATTTATTCGAACCAACCAAACATATTTTCTAAATATTCCCAATAATCTTAAAGGTGATCTTTCTTTCATATGATCCAAACCCCTCTAATATATATGATTTATTACAATATTATGAATACCACTATAAGCCCAAAAGCCATTATGATGTCTCCTCCGGGACATACCGTTATTATGGAAGCTGATAGAACGAAACATAAAACTTTCACGCCAAAAAGATTAGTTTGGGATGATATTATTAAACAAACATATTGGAAGTTAGAAAAATTATGCCATTCAAAACCTTTACATGATCAAAATGATTCTGAANATCTTCAATCAAAATATTGTTGGATTACATAGTTGTTCTTGATTTTGTGGATGTGCTGTGCGTGAATTTTTATTGAATTTGCTGGGGTCCCATCAAATTGGTATCAGGGCCAAGGTT